AGGCCAGTCGCACAAGAAGACATCTTTTATGGTCTTGGCGACCCAACCCGTGATCGGCAAAGGCACTTTGGCGAGCCTGAAGAGACCTGGAGCCGAGTCTGAGATGGGAGCGAACATGGCTGGCAGTAGCCTCATCACCCGCTTTGTGTTCAGTTGCATGAGTTCAACTCTGTACTCAAAGAAACCGGAAGTGTTCGACAAGTTGGCCAATGAACTTGCTACGCAGTTGGACGCAGGGTTCAAAGATGGCATTTCTGTCCTTTATGGAGGTGATGAAACTACGCTGTACCCAGTTGTCTTGTACACCAAAGGCGACTGGCCAATTTTAAAGCGGCTGGGTGCCTTGAACAGGACGCATCATCAAGCCATCGCCAACCTCAGTGAGAGCAAAGGTGTCTGTCACCTTTGCATGGCGGGTACAGAGAAGTACCCGGACTGGCACCAATGCCATCAGGCATCGTGGATGTGCCCGGAATCCATTTCGGACCCGCGACCTCCCTGGTCTCAGCAAACTTTGTTTACACAGCTATTGGCAAGATCACCGAGTCTTTGGGGGAAAACGTGGCTTTACCGCCCGGACCTTTTCCACACTGTGCACAAGGGGGTTTGTGCAGAGCTCACGGGGTCTGGATTCGCAACTCTGGATTCCTCCAACTAAGGTTTTTATTTAAAGTGTGCACATGGGGTAAGTGATGTTGCAACTTTTGGTCAATGAACTGTTTTCTTTGTGATAAGGTCCCCCCAACTCAACGAAACAAATTCTGGTGATGTTCTGAATGAGGTTGTTTTGACAGACCTTGGGCTCGATGGCGGCGATGGTGACATCCCGGCAAGGCTGCACCGGATTTACCAGGACATGAAATCCTTTTGCAAGGACAAAGGAATCCCGCTGTACATGAATAATCTCACCAGGAATTTGCTTAATTTCAACGCAAGCACGGACTACCCCACAGGGCCCCTTGCCGTGAATATAGACTTTGGATATGTATATATATATGTCTATTGTCTACGTGGATGTAAAAATGATTGGTGTTCAAAAAATGTTTCCACATTTTCCTGGAACATACTATGATCAAGGTCATGGTTTAAGGGTGCAGATACAGCAGCAGCTGCGCGCTACCTGGAACAAGTACAGTGGAGTGATTGAGGATCACCCGAACCATGGACACATACACTACTTGAAAGCCATCCACAGTGCCCTTTCTGGCTTGAACAAGTTCTTTCACAACCTTTACAACGCACATCTGTGGGTGAGAAGGCCGGAGGCCAAACACACAGCTCAACATGGGCGCGCGGTGCTGGAGAACTACTTGAGGGCTGCGTCGCATGCTCTGCGGCTGAAATTCACGAAGTTTAAGCTCATACCAAAGCACCATATGCTATGCCATGTTATCAGGGTTTTGGAGCAAAGCTCTGTGAATCAAAAGTGGACTTTAAGCCCTGTAGCTTCTATGTGTCAACAAGACGAAGATTTAGTCGGTCGTGTTTCAGCTCTTTCAAGGGCGTGTGATATCCGCACCGTCCATGAAAGGACGCTTAGAAAATACCTTGTGAAGGTCCAGCTGCTGCTAACAGCCAAGGTCCGGGCTCATGAGGAAGCCCCGCAAATCGCTCCCCCACTCGGAAAATGGCGTCGGGAAACGTCAAGGAGTCATGACTTTTTTTTTGTCTTCAAAAACTAGAGAGTAGTAGAGCCGTTTTTACTGGGTTTGCAATGCAAACGTAGTCTTTCGACTTCTAGGTAAACAAACCAAAGGGGTGCAGCGAGAAGGAAACGGTCTTTTTTGACGTGTTGTTTTGGCTTGTTTACACTCGAACAGCGGAGCGTCTGACATTCAGAATGCCACACCAACAAAAAACACCAACTATGAATCTAGATGACTGGTGGGCGGACGTTGACACACACACACATATAGACTATAGAGTCGTCAGACCCTGCGCCCCGAAAGGCCGCTTGTTGTGAAATGTGGTGGGCGGGCGGGAGCTTGTGATTCAGTACGTGTGATGTGCAGACTCACGCCTCTAAAATCACAATGGCATGGAGATGTGTGGCTGCTTTCCGTGAAGTGTGGTGGGTGGGTGGGAACTTGTGATTGCGCAGACTCACGCCTCTCAAAAATCACGATGGTTTTCGAGATGTGTGGCTGCTTGCCGTGAAGTGTGGTGGGAGCGGAGCTTGTGATTCACTGCGTGTGCAGATTCATGCCTCCAAAATCACAATGGTTTGGAGTTGTGTGCTTGAGTTAAGTCATCGGCCATACTTGTGGAGCCGCTGGGCCCTGACTGTGGGGCGTCCCTCTTTCTATTCTCAAGCCAGGAGCTGCAATCTGTTGGATCGTAAATCTTGAACTTTCTGCCAGTGGCGTATTTTTTCCCCCGTGGCGTCTTTCAAAAAAAACATGCAACAGTGGCAAGTGTCAATTTTTATTGCCACTAAGCGTTCCCAGGCTTGCGACCCTCGTATTGTCTTTTGCTCCAAATACAGATGCGCGTTGCAAGGAAGAATGCAAAAAGAAACTCATGTTTGCGCAGGCTCCGATCAGCGATTTGACCAAGGCTGGGGAACCTACATTTGGTCTGGTGGCTCTTCGACAAGGCCTTCGAAGAGTCAGAAAAAGAAAAGTACAACCAATACCGTCGTTTGTACGGTGAGCCCGTCACCTGTGGCAGCTTACAAGGCCCAGTACCAACAGATCGATCCGGAAACCCAGATCTGTGATCTGGCTTGGGGCCAAAAATCGTTGCAGCGTGTGCAGGAGGCTGGATGTATCTTGGTCAAAGATGCGCCAATACACATGAGGACGAGAGATGTATCCCAGTCCAGCCACCTGCGCCAAAGATCAACCGACAACACAGCTATGATGAAAAGAAGACTTACAAGAAGGTGTATGTGGAATGCGGACGGAAGAGGCATTGGAGGGGTGATCCACATTGTCCACAGGGGCGATCCACTCTTGAGAAGGGCAAGCCGCGTCAGAAGAGAAGTGGCAACGCACAAAAGGCCAGTCAAATGCGGTCCACTCACTTACGCGGTGTCTACGACAACCAAGACAACCAAGACCACAAATCACAGAGTAAGAGAAGAGGACTTCAGGACCAGTCATGTCATCCCTGCCCAGTTTAATTGCCGGTGGCCAAGTCTCACATACAAGTTTGGCGCGCAGTGTGGCAGAAGTCTTCCCACATACAAGTTTTGCGCGAAGTGTGGTCATCGCTTCGAAAGAGACGAGCGTATGGCAGAAGCCAGGCAAGAGAGGATGGACGGTAGTCAGTGATCATTGAGAAGATGAGGAGGTGCCAAGTTCAAAGAGCAGTGAGCAGCCAGAGGAGCCCAAGATGTATCACGTCAGAAAGAATTTTCTTCGTGAGGCGGCAGGAGCAGGAGCTCACAGGCTCACATCATACTGATACTGGCTATATTGGAACACTTATCTGCCAGAATTTGTCTCAAGCAGCAGGGCAAACTTTGCGCTAAAAGACACTTTTCCAGGGCGCCCACGCTTGCCTTCAAACACACCGCAAAAGCGCACCAACCCAGAAAAGTGCTTCCTGTACCGACAAGTCTTTGTTACCGTGCCCCGCTTTGTCTGCACCCTTCTCGCTAGAACCCGCTCTTCGCAAACATCCTTCCTCGACTCTCCGCATCTAGACCTGTGTAAGTCACACGATCTTTCCTTTCACGCATGGTTCGACTTCATGCACGGATTGACCCACAAACTAAATCGAAAATTACAATTATGCCAAGCACTCCAAAAATTTTTCCTCAGGCCCAGTTGACGATGCAAAAGATGCCGTCATGCCCGGTGGATGATAGGCCCAGTTGACGATGCAAAAGATGCCGTCATGCCCGGTGGATGATACAAATTACACCAGCATAGACCCAGATAGCTAGGCAGAATCCCACGACCTGTTAACATGCGACCGGCTGGAACCAGAATGTACGCAGCCTGCGCTTTGACCACAACACCAACACCAGCACCGACACCCTTTCGAAAGCGCGCGCAGCCAGCTCATTCTTATTTGCAGCAAGAACCCCATAGCTATCCCTATTTGGGGAGTAACAACGTATGATCTTGCGCGTATAAGTTTATGCGCACAAAAGTATGCGCGCAAACAGCAAAGCCCGTAAGTGTCATTGGCCCAATGCCAAGCAGTATCCAGCGCCACTATTGACTTTGTAGCATGCTTGAAGCTATGATCTGCAGAACGATAGGGCCGTATGATCTTGCGCGTATAGGATTATGCGCGCAAAAGTATGCGCACAAACGGCAAAGCCCGTAGGCTTCACTCGCCCAAGGCCAAGCAGCATCCAGCACGACCATTGTGTGTGCAGCATGCTGAAACATGCTGAAACAATGGTCGGTTGAGAGCCTGACTTTGCGCGTAGAACATTATACGTGCAAAAGTATGCGCGCAAACAGTACGGCCCTTGACACAGTCAGCTGTCGGCCAAAACAGAACCTGAAGAGTGTAAATACCCCACAGCACTAATAGACAAAGAACGCTCAAGCGACAACACCGTATGATGTTGCGTGCATATGTTCACGCGGCCCATGACTGCTGGAACCTACTAGCGATGACACGCGTTCCGAAGCGATCACATTCCTGCGTTCCGAAGCGATCGTTTTTCTGCGTTCCGAAGCGACTCACTTCGCTCGCCTGAACAGCACTTCAGCCTAGCCTATCGGCTGGCTTTCGCAAAGTCCAACCCAAAGCAGCAGTGGCGCGACAGCCTTTTGCACCACACAGCTTGGAACGTCCCCGATATATGCCATTTCTGCTATCTTTGACCAACCAGCTGTTGAGTCATTCAAAACACACCACCTAAAACAAACACCTGCGCACTCGCCACTAGCACGTAGTGTCGTGTAAACACACGCGCACTGCGATAGTGGGCGCTTGCACGTTCTGACGAAATATATACTGGGGCAGTACAAGCAACCTCCTGCTTCACCAAGTGCTCATTTCTGAGCGAGGCACGCTCACAAAAAGGACTCTGCCTGAAGATACGTAAAAGCTGCAATTGTGGAGGCGGTTTGTTGAGCGCTTCAGCGTAGGTGGCGAGCAGCACCTCAATGCGTAGAACAGGCCAGGGAGACAACACCACAATGCAACAGTTGGAATTGATCAGGAGTCTGCAGATTCCAATCTTCTCAGGAAGCTTTTCTTTTGGCCTCATGGTCTTGAAGCTGCACTCCACCACAAAGGAGAGATAGCTCTGTGGAATGAATGCCAGACCTAAGCACAGGAGCTTTACCCAAACAGAACAACAAACACTTTTTGTTTTGACAAAAGCATTTGGCAAAGGCAACATCAACCAAGCCTGGTGAGGCTGAAGCCAAAACACTATGGAACAAAAAAGCGCAACCCCATTCTTTACCTCCGGGTGGAGAACCAGAAAATGCGTGCTCACTCATACCTGTGCTCTCATGCGTGTGTGTGTGTGTGCGCGTGTGCGCTCTAAAGTGCGTAGAGGCCCTTATCTTGTTCTACTTAGCACTGTTTGGAATCTCTTGTGTGTGTGTTATATGGTGGTGTTGGACCGTTGATGAACTCGACTCAACATATATGATTTGATGTGTATCCCTAAGATGCTTTTTTGAGCCTGACGTGCTGTCTTATGATGTCTTATGTCTGGAGACGTGGTATGGTCAAAGCAGCAGGTCTTCACCTGTGGCGGAATGGTATCTTGTACTTGCTGAAGGTCGCTATCATTTTTCACCGTCGGTGAATGGACGTTTGTCAGCTTGCATGTTACGAAATCACTATCAACATGTGTTTGTTTGCACGTGAGTATGTTTCCACCTGCGCCGACTAAAAGCCTCTTGCAGCTTCAATACAACCCAAGAGTTAAAGGTTTTGAAAAGCCAATGACTTGTCAATAGTGAGAAACAATTCAAGAACCAAGCGCAGAAGAGAATGCAGTGCGTGGGAAGTCAATCAGAATTAGAAATGGGCCCTCAGTTGGCCGCTGGGGTAACCTAGACCTATACGATGCTTTCGTTCACTTTCCGTAACTTCTCACGCCCTCAGGAGCAGGCAACTCAGCAAGTCTTTCCTTTACTTCGCCACCCTGCTAGAAGCACCAGCGGCTTCAGAAATTGCAACGTGGAAAGTACGCCTTCGCGCCATTGCCAATGATGAACCGCCAGGAACGGCCACTCATCATCGCAACCTACCGGCTCTCTCTGCAGAAACTGGCGCCCCCCCCAAGAATTTAATTGTGATAAATAAGTGTAAAAGCAAGCCTAAGCAAGCAAACCATTGTATTTTGTTCAAAAATTCAACAAACTGAGTGCAGACTTTGCTTGGCCTCAACTTCTACACCAGCAGTATCACTTTCCCAACAGGTCCAGCGCTGTCGGTTGGCCTGAAAAAATAGACTAGCAGCAAGGCAAACTTGCAAAAAAAAAAACTCCAGCATTGCAACCTGCCGGCGGAGGTGGCAAAGCTCCTCTTGCGCAGCGAAAACTGCGTCCGCAACACGCAGTGCTCCGTGCAGGATTCAAACATAATGAGGTCCTCTCTCACAGTAGCAGAGCAGGGCTTCGTTTTCTTCTCCGTCTTCCCAAAGAGCCTCCTGCAGGTTGTTCTTGCCATGCAATTGACCACACAATCCTTTGCAGATCCCTCCTCATCAAGTCCAGAAAGGACTCATTTCCGAGTCCTGGCAAAACGTCAACTGTAGATCCAGATCACCTGTTTTTTCGATTGAACAAGGACTTGCATGTGGCAACGGGATCACGTGCACATTCACTTGCACATCGAGGACCACTTGGGGATCAATGACGTTCACTTCGACGGGGTCTTGTGTAAAGGGTGGCTACGTACCATGTCAAGGCGGATGGCCAAACATCCCATAGACATATATATATATAGGTTGGAGGCCATCGCCATTAGGTTGGAGGCCATCGCTATTTGGTAGAAATCGACTATAGGCTCCTGTACAAAGCCAAAAGTGCCCTCACTCAGTTCACGAGGCAGGCTACATACTTGCACGGGAACAACGTGCACTTCGATTAGAGCACTGCCGGGAAAACTACAATTTTGGCTCTGATGCGCGTTTGTATCTTGACCAGGATTGCTGACATGGTACGTTTGCTGTTTAACTATATATTGCGAAAGCGGTCCTTGTTTTGAACCTGAATGCGACCTGTGGTGCGCAATGGTGAAACTTGAGACTTTAAGCTTCTACGCACTCCTCCTTTGGCGGCGGAGTTAATGCTGCCTTTCACGCCGTCAATCAGTGATTCAAACAAATTGCAACTTTTTGTAGCTCTGCTTACAATTCTCGCAGCTTCACTCTGTCACCAACTCTATTGTAGAACTCGATACTGTCTTCAAGTTTCAACAACTCTTCTCTTGCCTGCAATGCTCTGGATCTCAACGTGTTCATCTTCTCATCACCGTCTATTGGTTCATCCGTTGCTTCTCCTTCTCGGGTCGCTTCACTGCTGCTGCATCTGTCACGTCATGATCTGGACTTTCTGGTCCTTCAATTTCTTCTTCTGGTTCACCTGGTGGTTCAAATGGTGGAGCAGCTGTGAGCAACCTCTCATCCTTTGTTCTTGGCACCAGTTTGCACTCAAATATTCCACTGGAACTTCAACTTCTCTTCCATCATCCAGTAGAACTGTGGCTGTCACGCCACTCAAACTCTCTTCACGTCCTCCTCTTTCTTCTCTTGAGCTTGATGCCCCTGCGCCATTTCCTTTTATCGAAGGCGTTTCGTCTCGTCCTCTCTTCTGTGTGGTTCTGTGTGATCGACTCCTCGTCTCCTCGCAGTTGCTTCATGTCTCATGAGTCTTTCTGCCATCTTCTCGCGTCCCCACTTTTGATTGCCCTTCTCAAGAAACTTCATGCATCTTTCCTCTTCTGATCTTCTGAAGTTTACCCTTCTTGTTCCACATAACCGTTCTGTTTCGCTGTGGCTCTGTGAAGGCGTTGGCAACAATCATCTCTCATTGAATCAAACTGCCCTTGATTGACCACATAGGACTTGAACTCGAGTCTGGCTTCCTCAATTTCATCCTTTGCTGACTTCAATCCTAAGATCTGAAATCTCAAAGCAAATTCGTTTTCTTCCATTCTCTTCTCAAGCTTCTTGTATTGCTTGTCAGGAATACACCAATCAGAACTACTGCCATTGCACGAAGGAACACCCAGAACCGTGTCCTTGACAAGTTCTCCTCCTGCAATGTCACTTCAGTTCTTTCCGCCTGCGCCACTTACACAATTTTCTCGAGTGCTTTGGCTAATGATTGAGTCTTGCCACGTTGCATCTCTTTCTCTTCAACTTCCTGTCTTTCCTTCTCACCGGCTCTCTTTCCATCTCTGTCAATTGCATGGCATTTGCGCAGAAAGAATTTCAACCTCTGTTGGCTAAGAGGTTATGTCCCAATGTCTGACAATTGTGAATTGTTTCAATCCGCTTGACTTCAAGTTCCTTTGAAGAAAACATCTCTTGACACCATAGAAGCTTTCCACTGGTGCGCCTCAGCTTTCCACTTTCTCTTTTGCGCATGATCTGTCTCGTCGCTGAGTTGTCCATCAAGCAAACATGTTGGACTTCTTCGTCTGTCAGAAACTTGAGGCGTTGCCGAATGAGTACTCCATCACACGCGCCACCAGCCTCCAACCAATGCATGTAGTTCACTCAGCACTGCTCAGACTGACTGCTTTCTGTCCTCTCGATGTTGCAAAAACAACACATCGATTCAACGCGTGTACAGATGAAGATGTAGATTTGCGATGTCCTTCGTGTCCGCTCCAATCTGCATCCGTGAATGTCCCTAACAACCATTTTTGCCTTGATAGTATACGCATACCACAACCTCCTGTTGGAAATGGAATCTTCACGCGTTGGCCTTCCGTTGACTTGAGATAACCAATTAGCTTTTTCGCTCAGCTCATGCTCAATTCCGTTGGTGTTGACATAGAGGACGCAAGCTCTTTGATCGTGAAGCTCAAACCCAATCTTTCCTGTGACAAGTAAACACCGCTACCCACTTCGGTATTGCGCTACTTCTTCTGAGCTTAGTTCTTCAGATCGTACTTTTTGCTTCTTGGCTTGACCATAGAAATCTTCAAAGTCCTTGATCATGTCACTGGCGTATCGTCCTGGCATGATGTATAAGGCGCCATTCCCAAGCTCATCTCCTGGTGACTTCATTTGGCTCACTGAGATCTCAAACTTTTCTCTCAGCTGTTCAATGAAGTGTTGAACTGCCTCCTCCTGTCCATAGTACAGGCAGGCTGTCGACATGAATCAGCACAAAGACTTGATCTGCCTTTCTTCCAAGACATGCGTTCTCTTTGCAGAATTCAAATCCAATGCCTTCCGGAAACTCAACTAAATGGTTGAACCATGCTTGAGCTCCTTGTCGTTGACCTGGCAAGTTCTTCACTCGAAGCTCCGCTGCAGTCCCCTCATAGCGCTTGGCCAGGTTTGCCGCGTCCAGAAACACTTTGAATGGCTCAGCGTGGTTAGGGTGCCACGGCGGCGGCAATCACAGGCCCTATCATGCTCTAGCACTACGAGGCCTATCATAGCCCTAGGACTCACCCTATTCTACGAGCCTCCTATACTCTCCACCTAGAGGGGTAGTCTAGGTGATGGTAACCCCTATCATGGGACTTCTGTGTGAGCTCTTCAGCAATCTTTTGCCACATGGCCCGGCTTGCCACACGCGTAACATACTTTGCCTTTGCCATTGCCTTTGTTCCAGGAAGATTGTTTTCTCCCCGTTTCCTTTGCCGCAGCCTTCTTTGTTCCAACTTTCATAGCCCTTTTCACCTCCATCTCCTTTGCCTTTGCCGCCTTTATTGTCCTTTCCTGTGCCCTTCGACTCGCCGTCTTTAGTCTTCCCCTTGCCGTTCCTCCCTTTGTCCTCAACATCCATAGGCACCAAACCTTTGTCATCCGAAGTCAACATCATAGCTTGGCTCCACTTCAATGTTGCCTTGTCATATTCCAGGACCTTCTCTCTCAGAGTGACATAGCTTGTGGATTCTGAAACCTGCAGCTGTAGCCAAGCCTTGATATTCCCTCACTTCATCAATACGGCAAATTTGATCTCTTCAGCCAATGTCTCTCCAGTCTTCTCATACTCTCGACAAGCATCTTCTAATTTCACAAGTTGCGACAACATGTTCTTACGCATGTCAAACGAAGACCAGCCGCGAATAGAATTGAGTATGCCGAGGGATCTATTCCTGCTCACTGGCTCCAAGGAACTCAAAAATTGTCTGTAGGCTTCCAATCCATTGCTTTCTGCAACCTGTCGCAACACCAGCAGGGATCGATTCTCCAACAATCCCGCCAAAAGACGAGACAGGAATGAACTGCGGCTTTTCTCCTTGTCTCCCATCAAGGAGCTGTCAACCTCTGTCGATGGGTTCTTTCTCAAAGCTTCGAAGTCTGCAAGGTATTCGATATCAAAGGATGCTAAGTACTGGTCCAATCGCAATGCAACATCACGCCACATCGACAATTCTTCTTCTCGACTCTTAGGATCAAAGACTCCAGGCTTGGGCAATGTCTTGTACCAACTCTTTTCATCATGTCTTTGGCTCTTTAGCCCTGCCAAGCTTGAGCAGCTACCGTAGCTGCCGTGGATGCAGCTTCATCATTCTCCTGGCCAGTTCTGCTCCATCTATCTGCTGGCCTGCGGCTCCACTAGGGCTTCCAGCTGAGCTCATACCGGAGAACCCTCCGCACCAGCCATGGCGTCGCAAATCTGAGCCTCACCCTTCCGGGATCATTGCCTCCACTACCATGCGAAAGCGGTCCTTTTCTTAAACCTGAATGCGACCTGCGGTGCACAATGGTGAAACTTGAGTATGCTTTAATATATAAAGTTATATGTTTGTATAAATATGTATATACATATCTGCTTGCTTTTGATGGTCCAAGGCTGCATCAAAGGTCGTGGCTTTCCTACTTTGAGAAATGACAGCATCACAGTTCGGCGACGCACAAAAGATCCAATTCAACAAGCGAACCCCTTCCCCTTTGCAGATTCCGCTCTCCTCGAGGCAAGCAACCGTGTAGAGTGTTGCCAAATCCCTTGGTCTATCCAAGTGGTGTAGGTGCGGACTCAGCATGAAAACCGCAACTCTTTTGTGCGGCCACGTCACCCACATCAATGTGTATTTGACATTGGTTGGTTTGTGCAACTTCCTGCAGTTTCAAGGAATACATTCAAAGCCCGAGCTGCTTCAATCTGAGACAAGGGCAGCGCCAAATCGGAATAAGATTTTTCCAACTCACCCAAGCGCCATTTGGGGCATTCCATGATCCAGAGCCAAGAGTGTCAACTCACGCAAGCAATTTAGTACCACATGATGTCACATCTGTCACGTTCTTTCCACACAGCCACAGACTGCATGTTTTACAATCAACACTGACATGCTGAAAGCCTTGGCTGATCCTTTGATGTCTTTTGGTTAAACGCTCACAGCTGCAGCGGCCGCCATTGATCAACTGTCAAAGTGCACGGGCAGCTCTTCCTTTACATCTGCTGATGCTTGGCACACCAAACACTTTTCGCTGCAAGGAATCCAGCTGCAGGGCCACATACTCTTTACAGAGTGAAACCAATATTAAAGCCTTTGCAGGCCGACGTAGTTAGTCAGCTTGCTACCTCGAACGAAACCCGTGCAAACGTTGCAACTTGTTGACACACAAATCTGCAGTATATAGTGGTGCTCTGTCCTAAAGAAACAGACACCAGGCGAGATGTGTCAGTTCTTGCGGCCAGGACTTGAAATCAGCGGATGTCTTCTGGCACTGGTTTGCCATCCAAACGTACAATTCGAAGTCCCCGTTGGGCGACGTCATATGGCAGACAGTCCTTATTCATCATCTCCAACGAAGACATGAATTCAAGCCTTCAAACAAATTTCCAATACAACCCATGAAAATTCGACGCAACATCCTGGCTGTCTTGCTCTCGTTTGCACACATTCCCATAAAGACACAAATGATTTGGTTTAGCATCTTTTGCATGCTCGTCGAAGAGTCTACCTGGGCAAAGTGAAAACACCTAAGGTGAAATCGTGTTCACGTTCAAACAAACCCTTTTTGAGAATACACAGAAAAAATGTTTACTGTATATAAGCAAAATGGTAGCTGCGAAGCTCGGCCAAATATTTCAAAAACACCTCCTCCACCCTCTCGTCGCTCGGATCTGGTTCTGGAGGTCCGACGGGCACAGGGCGGCCATAGCGTGTATGTATAGGCGTCCTCAATGTTTTTAGCCGCAGCCAAAACATGTTTGTCGTGAGTCATGATGTTGCGAAAAAGACAATCCTGAATACCGTGGGAACAAAATTGTAAGATCGTGACGGGATAGGAAGCAACCCGCCCATGGGAATGCCAAAGCGAGAAGTGACAATGGGAAGCGTCATTCCTCTCAAGGCCACAACATCTCTAATTTGAAAGCACGAATCGGTTGACTCAATGTGAACATACCAAAGGGGGAAGGAAGTTAGACTTTGGAGACTATATAGATAACCTTGGATGGGCAAAGAGTGAGACAACAACGGGGGGAACGATACTTTTGGATTTGCCGAATACGTCTCCAACGTTGCAGGGCCTACATCCACACACGGGCACAGGAGAATGCAGCGCCTGCTGACAAATACGTTTTGGAAGGTAGTGTGCGGATGATCCATACATGACGGGTACGTTGCCAAAAATCTTCTCGCGAGTGGCTGTTGATAGCCTCCAAAGCAGATTACTAGTTTTGCCAGACGTTGTGTCAAGTTTCTTCGGGGAACCACAAATCTCATCACAGTAAAAGCCTTCCTTTGGTCACCCATTCGTGCGTGACGCGGCCTTCTTAGTAGTAGTAGTAGCAGTAGTAGTAGTAGTAGTAGCAGTAGTAGTAGCAGCAGTAGCAGTAGTCGTCGGCGTCGTAATCGTCGTAGTAGTGGTCGTCGTCGTAGTAGTAGCACTAGCAGTGGCAGCACTAGCAGTACTAGTGGCAATAGCAGTAACAATACCAATACTACTACTGCTGCTACTACTCCTACTACTCCTACTGCCTACTACCTACTACCTACTGCCTGCTACCTACTACCTACTACCTACTACCTCCTACTACTACTACTACTACTACTACAGTACTACTGCTACTACTACTACTACTGCTACTACTACTACTACTCAGTGTTGTAGTAGTAGTAGTAGTGGTGGTGGTGGTGGTAGTAGTAGTAGTAGCAGTAGTAGTAGTAGTGGTGGTGGTAGTAGTAGTCGTGGTAGTAGTAGTATCAGCAGTAGCAGTAGTAGTAGTAGTAGTAGTAGTAGTAGTAGTAGTGGTAGTAGTAGTAGTAGTGGCAGTGCTAGTAGTAGTAGTAGTAGTAGTGGTGGTAGTCGTAGTAGCGGTACTGGTAGTGGTAGTGGTAGTAGTAGTAGTAGCAGCAGTAGTAGTAGTAGCAGTAGTAGTAGTCGTCGTCGTAGTGGTAGTGGTAGTAGTAGTAGTCGTCGTCGTCGTCGTAGTAGCAGCAGTAGTAGTAGTAGTCGTAGTGGTGGTGGTGGTGGTAGTAGTAGTAGTATGTAGTAGTAGGTGGTAGTAGTAGTAGTAGTAGTGGCATTGGGGGTGGTGGTAGTAGTAATAGTAGTAGTAGTAGTCGTCGTAGTAGTAGTAGTAGTAGTGGTAGCAGTAGTAGAAGCAGCGGTGTAGTGGTAACAGTCGCAGTAGCAGTAGCAGTAGCAGCAGTAGACTAGTAGTAGTCGTCGTCGTAGTAGTAGTAGTAGCAGCAGTAGGCAATAGGTAATAGGTAATAGGTAATAGGTAGTTGGTGGTAGCAGTGGATAGTTAGTTGTAGGTAGTAGTAATATGATCGGGCGCGCGCTGCAGCTTTATAGAACGACTGGCGCTGTGTTAAAAATTTGCTTCAGAAAACACAAACAACACACGCGCAGGGCCATGCTCCCTAGACATGATAATAAGCTGCCAAGGGTTGAAAGACGTACAGCGCCTGCAACAAAACAGCGGCGTCACCTCAACTCTTGGAACGCCGCGCATAGTGGCATCTGGTTTGCTGAACTCCTCCCTTCCCTCTGCCACGCCATCACCCCGACGACCGTTGGACACACGTCCCTTGTATTGCTTCTAACAACTGTCCACAGGGACAGTAGGGCCAGCTACGGCGCGAGTCTCTTCATAATAAAAGGTGAACTGGTTAGCCTTGGTGAAAGTCTGGTGAAACACCGGACATTCCCAGCGCCCAGCGACATTGTGGTTGCTGTGTGCGTGCATCGCTGCTGCAATGTGACGGGGATGCCACCTTTGCCACTTCACCAGCGATGTCAGCGATGCGCTACTTCACCAACGCTCAGCAACCAAACACTGCAACACCGCCATTGGCGAACTTCAAAGTAACACTGGCGAACTTCAAAGTAACGACGGGCCACTTCAAAGAGAAGATAGCATTAGGGCCAGCATTCGGGCCTGCACCATCTGTACCTTGCTTCAATGTTTATTCGATAAACTCTCTGATCAAAGAAAAAGAGGGTATCGTTTCTGGCATTGGTGTGCAAAAATGCGAGAATTCTTTGCGTCAATATCTATCTATATTCATATCTACTTTTTCAGCCATACCTCACATCGACCAGAGTTCGACGACTGCAGCAGCGAGGCGTTGGCGCAGCACGAGACTGATTGCCAAAAATGTATGTTTAAAGCTGCTTCATATAACAATTGGTCGTTTACTTGTGTCTCACAGTAAGCATAACGCCTTAAAGTGCTTTCGTAGACATGTTTTTTGGTATGATGCAGCCAAGTTTGCCGAGGTTTCCCAACTCGCTTGGTGCCGTAGTCAGTTCTCTGTGCAGGAACTGGTAAAAAGGAAACTTGCCTCATGGGATCATTGCTGTCGCTTCGATAAATATGTCCAAGAAGTTTAACTCGCCTTTGCGTGTGAAACGCACTGAATGGAATTATCTTTCTAGGGTCACCGCGAGATGGGAAAGCGATTGAACTTGCTTCATCTATATCTATACTTATATATTCTTTAAAAGATCAGGAGTACAAGGGACACGACCCACAAAACGGAAAGCCAAGATGGGGCAAGGGGTTGGGATAGAGGAAGGAGGGCAGGTTGAATGAACCAAAAGGGGCTTGAGACTCGATTGCTTATACAAGCAGGGCAACGCTTCAGAAACACGAGCCCAATCCAATAGGATTGACGAGTGAGGCTCAGGAACAGAAATTGTTTTTTTGGGAAGTCACCAGTCTAGCAATGAATCAAGAGGTTTGGCCCCAGGCTACGTTTCGCAAAGGTGGGAATTTGTTGCCGGCTCGAAGCCCGCCACATCAGGTACCCTGATTACGGAGGTCTTCCACTGATGCCTAAAAACGGGTCTGCAGTGAAATAAGAGCAAGGTCCTGTTGTCTTGTTAATTAGCTTGGATAGCCACTCAAAGCCTTCAACTTTCTTGTAGAGCTGATTCTCACCAAAGAAATAGGCCGGCAGCAAGTCCACACCATGCCTAAAGTTGGTCGGTGGGAGAATTCAACTGAACTGTATCAGCATCAACCGCAATCACAGGAGCCTGGCCTGATTGCCATGCGAACGAATCCCAGTCTTGCAGGGAAGAAGGCTTGCTCTTGCTTCTCGCTGGATTGGGCCTGTTCCTTCACTCCACCAGGCTGTATAGCAATGCTGTCACCCCTTGCGAGCATCTTGTCAATCACCTTTTTGTCCACTCGACGAGCACCCAGAATGATCAACATCTCACTGAAAATAGGAACCCGGAAAAGCACGGGCGCCACTACGGGAAACCAATGCTCACCACAGGGCTGAGCATCCAACGCATACCTGCCTGCTATGAAGAAAGGAACCCAGGTGATGAAGCCGTGCGGATGCCAAACAATCATGTACTTGCGCGAGCGATCACATGCGAGCCCTTCACCACCAATCGAGACCTCACCTTGAATGGCTGCTTCAACACGTACACAATGAAAACCGAAACTGAAAGACTGACAAAAGAGCCCAATGCAAGAAGGTTGCGAACACCCACGAAGTTTGAATAACCTTGCATGCATGCAATTGGTTTCATATGTTTTCGTACTGCATAAATCTCAACCGATTGAGAACTGCAAGCCCACACTCTTGTACTTGTATATCCTTGTGGCAAAAGGTACGTCCGTTTCAGAAGTCTTCAAAGCCTGAAGCCTTACACAAAATTTAACAGCCTGAGCAAAGTCCGACGCTTTGTCGGTGAAGGGCGTGGTTGACCAATAATCTCAGGGGATCTTGCTTCAGGCATCCAACTCGCCACAGGGTGGGAGAGCAAAACGTGCAGTTTTCTCCAAATGTTGAATTGGGGAAAACAATACTTGGACATGATGCAAGCGAAAATGGGGGTTCAGCCTGGGTGAAATTGGACCAAATCTTTCAAGGTTCTTAAACTCACAGTCGAGACAAATTGATGCAATTCTCTCTACAGTCTATAGCAGCTCAGTAATACTGTGACATAAGGATGGACAAAACGAGACTATGGCCAAAAGCACAAAACAAATAGAAAAAACATTCCACTTGAACCCTGCAGTGTGGGCAGCGCAACGACGCGAAGCACAAACTGTTGAACCTTTTATATAGTTGCATTTAGTGTCAAATTGTGCGTTTCCAAACACCAAAACAACGTTGCGTTCGGAACAGCAAACTTGCTTTGTGACAACCTCAAACAACAAAAATACAAATTTGATCAAATTTGACAAAATGAAAGGACACTGTAAAGAATTGCTAAATCAAAACCAATACGAACAGTTGTATGCATCACATGCCTACTTCAGCAAACAACATTGTTTTTAGTTGCGTGTAACAATCGCACTATTGAAGCAGGCACACATTGCGCGGCAAATGTGGGACATTCAACTGTCACCGGCTTTAAGTTAATGTCGAAAACAAAGTAGCCAAATAGAAGGGAATAATGAAAAGTTTTCGCAAAATTATTCCCACACCCTGAATGCTTTAGTGGATGTGGCCCAGGAGGTCTCAAAGACCTGTCTATTTTTCTATTGTTCTGCTATGTGTGTCCTTTGAGACCGTTGTTTAACCCATTTTGAGGTTTGCTTGATTCATTCATGGAACTCTGACCTGAAAACCTTTTACAAAAACCCTCTTGTCTTGTCTTGTCTTGTCTGTCCGCTTGAATCTCTCTGTGAGACTCGTGCCGGGGCCCCGCACCACAGTATTGCGATGCGCACACAAGAGATGTGTGGAAGCACAATCATTGCACAGAGTTTACTGCAAATGAAAGTCATGGGCCATGGGCAAGAATGGAAAAATCAAATGAGAAATCAGCACGAACTCAACGCCTGCAACCCACTCGAAAGTGGGGATTGGCGGCAGGGGTGCTCGTTCGAGTTCCCTGTGTCCGCACTGCCTACTTTCCAACTTGACGAATCATTGGATTGGGTGGCGCAGCTCCTGTCTTTACTTCACCACCAGCCCTAACTACAAGCTCACTCAGAACATCAGCAGCTTCATTCCACTCAGCTTGGCGCAAGAGCTGTGGCCGAATCTTAAGCAAGACTTTGTGGTCTCTGGTTTCCTTGGCTACTGCCAGCTGCACGGACTTTTCCACGTCAGACAAAGTGGACTCACTGTCTTTCAGCAAGGTCTGCGCCACAGTGCCTGCCACTGTCCATCGCGGTGCTCCCAATGGGTGGGGTCCGCTGGTTGGCGTCTTGGACTTCCACGCCTGCATTGCTGTCAGCAATTCCTTGGCTAGCTGACTGTCTTCGCTGAGCAAAAAGGTGTGGCAGCTCCACGCTTCTAACTCTCGGATGTCCCGGTCGCGCTGCTGAACAACTTTGACCAAGTTGCGCACTTGAGTGGTGAGGTGCTGAACTTGTTGTTCCAAATTCCCTTTGTGTCCAGTTGCTTCTGCTCGTTGGTCTGCCTGAGGACGCTTCTGCGCTGGTTGGTGGGAAGGACTGCTCTCGTTCACCTCGGCCGTGAAAGCAAGCCCGGACATCAAGCTCTCGCGAATTGCTTGGCAGGTTGGCTTGCGGCGCAGGGTGGTGAACTTGAGCCAAAACTGCTGAGCGAGCTTGCTCCAGGCCTCCAGCTATTGCGCCTGCACGGCCGTGGTTGTTCACAACACTTCCACAGGATTGTCGCTCAAGATGTCTGCGGCACGCCGAGACTTCTGTGAACTGCCTTCTGCACTGCGGACAAACTGTATTTTTCAACGGATGTCTCACTTTGTGACGTTTCACAACATGCTGGGAAAAAGAGCGTCTGCTGTGCCATGGCCCTGCAGCACATTCGCCGCAGTAGGCCCCAGCTAGCCACTCAGGTTCAGGGACATCTGTCAAACTTTGCGGGGACGTCCCGTCTTGCAGCATGCAAAAGTCAGCGGCCAAAGCAGAAGGATCCCCAACAAGGGGGGAGGCTGGCAGACTGGAGTTGACTCCAAGCTCTCTTGCCGGGCGATGTTCGGCTGCTTCTGTTGGCTCCACTAGACAGGGAAGCTTGGCGATGGTCGCTCGAGGCGTGGCCAAAAAAGTGTGTCGCCACCCGGGCAAAAAACCAGACCATTCAGGTAGAAGAGCTCGTAAGTCTGCTGCCAAGATGTGCAAAAACGTAGGAGCAAACTCCGTCAGTTCTCCACTTGCATCTACAGGGGCTGCAGGCTGAAAGGTCAACTGCCCAAACAGAGTTGCCAGGTCAAGACGCACCTCTCCAGCTTGCTCAGCTTGCAAGGCAGCGCGGAGCCATAGAAGCCGGCGGACGCGAAGTTCAGAAGCAATGTCAGCCAACAAAGACTGCTGCCGCAGCGCTGAAAGAGGTACTGAGCGAGGAGCATCGTCAGCGCCAACTGCACCAAAGCCTCTTCTGCCAAAGCACCGTCGTAGTAGCACTCCCCGGGCAGCTTCAAGTCTCTGGACGTCTGTGCTTGTTAAGCTTCGGACTTCGAGTGCTGAGAGCAGCGCTTCATTCACGACTGATCTGAACACCATATTTTTGTGGTTTTGTGGGATTTTGGAATTCTTGAAAAAAGCTGAAAACTTTGCAAAGCCAGTCCTAGCAGCTGCGATGCGCTTGGACACCTCAGCCCGTAGAGAAAGGTTCGACTGCAGATGAGCTCCCAAGTACTTCACCACATGCTTCAACGGAGGGCCGCTCCAATCGCCAGAAAAACTCTTTTGGCTGCTGAGTACGATCCCTTGCCACGGACCGCTAGGAGACACTCACTTTTGACAAGTTGAGTTTCAAACGGTGCGGTCGCAATGCCCTTTCCAACGCAGCAGTGTGTTCTGCCGCACATTGCTCCACTTGCCCAGCCTGCTGCGCAGCTTCAACCCTTGCCAAATCGTCAGCGTAAGCGGCCACAGCGACATTGTGCACCGAACCATTGTATCTAACTTGAGTAAAGCAATTCGGCACAGGCGTGCTAGCACGCCAGTCCTGCACAATGTTTTCATATACTCGTCTGAACAGTCGTGGTCCTGTTCCACCTCCTTGCAAAACTCCAGCTCCCAAGTCAACTAGTAGCGATGTGTCACCAGCGATGGGCATGCGAATCTGCAGACGTTGTTGCAGATCAATAAGTAGAGCTTTGAACGTCGCATGGAGTGAAGGGTCCTCTTGTATATTGCAGACAACACTGTGGGCACTGATCACGTTAAAGGCCTTTGTCAGGTCATAGAGGATGGTCGCAGTACACAAATGCGCTTGTTGAAGCCGATCCAGCAAAGCACTGATTTGGAGAATAGCATCCCTCCGCGAGCGTTTGGCCGAGTAGCCGTACTGATGAGCCTTCGGTGGGTCGGGGCGCAAATCCAGGGCTGCTTTGTAAAAGACTTTGCCAAGAGGATCCAAAAGGTTGATGACCCTGTGACCGTTGGGCCCCGCGTCACCGCCAGGCTTGGGAATAGGACATCCATGCCCCACGCACCATTCAGAAAAATTGACTCCCATACTTTGTAAAAGTTCAAAGAGCGGCATCAACTGCTTGCCTGGCTGCAAGTGTTCTCTTCCTTGTAATAGCAAACACCAGACCTCGACAGGTAAAGCTCCGCGAGGTGTTGCCCGTGCTTTTTGAAGTCTCCCAGCCGCGGTAGCCAAAGCTTGCTGCCCAAACTCACCTTGAAACAAAGAAGGGAAAGAACCAGGCAAGCAGGAATTGTCCAGACAGGCTGGTTGCGCAGCAGAAGACGAACACTCACTAGCCCGTTGCACTGCTTGGAAATGCTGGAGCCAATCTTGTTTGGTGATTGGCTGGGCTTTGGGAGGCTGCCGCGGGTGCTTGTACAGGCGCCCGGCAAGTTGACGGCTGATACTCCAAGCTTCTCGTGAGTCATGTGCTTGGTGAGCTTGCTGCAACTTCTGGACCAAATTTGTTTTCCATGCCTGCACATCATTCTTCACTGCACGTCTTGCAGATTCTTGACGGGCATTCAACCTCAGCGCAAGAAAAACCAACTGGAGCTGCCAGCATTCCTGGCATCGTAGAGGTGCTTCATGTTTGCGCGCCATCGACTGCAAGAAAAGATGCATAGCCTCTCAGCGTCTTTCCAGCAAGTCAAAGGTCTGCGGAAGTAATTTGGAATTTGTCTGAGTGTCCGGCATACCAAACAATCAATCATTGCTCCAAACAATCTTTTTGACGGGGTAGTACACAAGCCCAAGCGAAGTGAATGGCGTCGTGGTGGTAATGGTAGTCGTAGTCGTAGTCGTAGCCGTAGTCGTAGTCGTGGTGGTGGTGGTGCTGGTGGTGGTGGTGGTGGCGGTAGCCCTTGAAAAACCTTTTGGACTAATGATATTGACGCGATTTTTTTAATGAAAGAAATTTTTGAAACGTGTTTTCAGGGCAGACTTGCATCAAACAAGCAAACCTCAGAAGAGTTAAGCAAGGGTCTCAAACAGGGGCATTAGCAAAACAATAGAAAAGACGACTTCGATGTTTTCACAAGCTCCAACTTTGGTTATGTATTAATCTCACTTCCAAAACACTTGACTACGACTACGACTACTACTACTACCACCACCACC